AGAGTTTGCAGAGTGCCTTAGGCACTAAGTTGACCTTTGGCTTCAATTTCCCATTCACTCGGTAATGGTTTTGAGCAACCAAATATACCACGTGAATCACAACGCGGCATAGAACGCGTTACCACTTTGACCAAAGTAAAACGACACTCGGGGCCCACCTAAAAAATAGACCAAACTTGAGAAAAAATTTTAGTTTTATCCAGAATTTTTCTACCATTTCCAACAGTAGCTAGCCTTTAAATCATTAGGATCATTTCTTTCCATCTTTATTGTTGATGTGACATTTTATAAAATTAATAATATTTAGATAAATATCTCAAATAAAGAGTATGATTGAAGTAAAATCATAAAACAGTTAATAGGTAAAATAAAATATATATTTTATAATTATATTTAGATAGGTAAAATATCTATTGAACATCTAATGAAGCCAATTGATTGTTACCCTTTCTGTAAAAACAACCCAAGTTGTCGTGGCATATTTGGAGGAATAAGGCTGGGCCAATAGTAAAAATTCAGTTTGAGCCCAGGCCGACACTGGCCTCATTAAGTTATGTGATTTTTTTTTTTTTAAATGTATTCTTTTAAATTTAAATGTTCATTTTTTAAATAATTTTTAATTTAAACTTTACAAGTAAAACAATATTGAACCAAGATAAATAATGTTATATGATACTTCAAAACTAACTGATAATTCTTGATGTTATACTAGTTGGTACGCACATGCATCGCTTGCGCTATTTCTATTTTTTTTTTTATGTGTACAGAATTTTATCACAAAACAATATGAGAGAATTGTGTAGGTTTCTATAATTGAATTCTTTGTAGTTAGCAATTTTTCATATACTTCAATTTTATTTGGAAACAGATTATTTTAGTAACTTTTTAGCTAAAATATGAGATAAAAAAAAATTAATATGTTTGGAATGAATTTTTAGTTTTTTACGAAAAGATATGCAAAAAGTAGAGAAAAAAAAGAATATTTGAAGCGTTTTGGCAACAAGCTAAAAAAGCCATCTTTTTGGCTTTTTAGTTTTTTTAGCCAAAAAAGTCATTTTTTAGCCAAAAAGTCAAAAAGTTAGTTTTTTACTAACTTCCCAAAACACCCATTTGACTTTTTTGTATAAGTTATAGATTTTTTAATTTTTTAAATAATTTTTCGACTTTTAAATTAAAACTATTGCATGCTAAACGAGACCTCATGACGTAATATATATATATATATATAAATATTAGTAGTGGGAGTTGATTGTGCTCGGGTTGGATCAAGTGGCTATATAGAAATGTTTGTATATAAATAATCCAACAAATTTAATAAATAAATTGTGAAGTTGAAATGGAAAAATAGCCTTAACCTTCTCGTTTAGCTCATTTATTCTAATTTTTCTATGCATTTAAGAAAATAAAATATATAATTTTAAATTCCTAAACTTGGTAAAACAATTCATGATATTAATATTATTAATCAATTATAACATACGTCAAAGCACATGTCCAGCATCCATGCATGTGTACACACTACCATGGTCCAATGTGGAAGCATATGTATAGCTCATTAGCATCGCTGGTTTCCAACCAAGGTGGTGAGCTTGAGAAGTGTGAATGTGAACTGGCACTCTGCAGAGAGAATAGCCTTTGGGGAGGGAGAGTGGACATCATGTAAGAGCCAGGGAAAATGTTATGGTGTGTATTGGGTGCATATCATATGCACTCTATCACAAAAATATATGGGTTAATTACACTAATAGTCTCTATAGTTTGGGACTTGTGTTACTTTGGTCCCTGACTTTTTAATTGTAATACATTTGACCGTGAATTTTGAATTTTGTTCCAAATAAAGATAATTAAAAATATTATTCGATTTTTCAAGGGTAAAATCGTCAATTTGATAAAATATAAACTAATTTGACAAAAATAAATGTCAAAAAAATATTTTTAATTTTTTTAAAATTATTTTTATCCACCAATGATAAAATTATGTAAAATTAATAAAAATTACATGGTTAATTTTTTAAAATTAATTTTACATGATCATCATCCAAACACATAATAAAAATTAATTTGGTTAAAAAAAAAATGTCTCAAAGATTTATTAATTTTACATAATTTTATTTTTAGTAGGTAGCAATAATTTTTAAAAATTCAAAAATATTTGTTTGACATTTATTTTTGTCAAATTAGTTTATATTTTATCAAATTGACAATTTTACCCTTGAAAAATCTAATTATATATTCAATTATTCTTATTTGGAACAAGATTCAAAATTCAAGGTCAAATGTGTCACAATTGAAAAGTCAGGGACCAAAGTGACACAAGTCCCAAACTATAGGAACTATTTGTGTAATTTGCCCAATATATATAATTTTTGTTAAATTAAGTGTGACCACATCATAATATGGTGTGCCTTTCCATACTTGATCATTTCCAAATGACAAGGTGTATATCTTCCCGCAAGAAAATGAAACAATTTGGTAAGTCAAATTTGAACACAATGGGTGCATTGTTTCATGATGACAGTAACTATTAGTTTTTTATCCAAAGGTTGTGACCTTTGGCAATGGTTGTCATTGTGGTTATAAACACATTGGCAAAATGTTTTCACAATTACACATTCTAATCCATTGGAAAACTAGCATATCTAGACCCAACTTTGCTTCCTGATTATTTCATCTTGTGTGATAAATACCCTCACGGGATCACCGATCATTTAACCATTGTTAAGTTAATCTTACAGTGGTATCAGAGCAGGTTTACACATTATCGCAGATATCGAAATATAGTCCAGAAGAACGAAAAGTTTTCAAACTCTTTTTACCAAAAATTCAGAAAATAATAGACCGACAATCTTCGGCATTGGTGAATTCCGTTTATTTATTTAATCATCACCAGCGTGTTGTATTCCCATAAAACTATCCAAAGAAAATAACCGTTGGTGGTGCTATTGTTCCGAACCTTGCCGAAAGTGAAACTGAATTGTATCGTTGGAAGCAATTTTATAAAATATTTTTCGATTCAAATTGCGACTCCAAATTGACACCATCTTGTTCTTCACAGAATTTTGATCATAGCGGCGAAATTCGTTGTGAAAAATGGCGAAAATTTGATCCACAAAATTCGAAATTCAGTGTTTGGTCACCAACTCCCATCACCGGACCGGAGAAGATAACTAGAACTAGAAAGATGTTGAAGTAGCCTCTGTTTTGAACATTCAAGATTTTGGGCCAAAAACAAAACCAATTAAAAGGGGCCCAAAAATAAGAGTTACAACAAGGAAATCAATTCCTTTGGGCCTAAAGATTAAAAAGAATTTTATTAGGCCAAACCAAGTTCAGCCCAAAGCAAACCAAGCGCAGCCCAGTCCAACGTCGTAGTGTAAGCCAGCGACGCAACCAGCCCAGCGCGCAGACCCGCGCAACCCGCGCCTGACTGCCCATTACGCTGGTCCGCGCCCAGATCCATGCCTTGACCCGCCGGTTCAGCCCTAGCGGGCTCAAACCGGTTCAGCCTAGCCCTTGGACCGGCAGCAGCCTGGTCTAAATAGTTTTTTGGCTCGTTCTCGCTCATTTCAAGGCCGTTTTTAGTCATTCAAAAGCCAAAATTTTCAGAATTTTTCTGTGGGTACTTGTACTACATTTTCAAAAGGAAAAATTCGAGAAAAAGGCTATCCAAGGGTGTTACCAAGGAAAACTTCCAAAGAAACATTGTTTAAAAGGCACCGTTGTGTCCCTTGGGCTCGTAACTATTATTACAATACTCATAAACAAAGTATTGGGTTTAGAAGGCCATTGGGTTTGCATCATTTTTCTTACCCAAGACAAGACAACCAATTTTTTGCTTACCGCAGGGGTCGACTCAACAACTTCAAGACTTATCCTTATTAAGTCCTGTTGTTGACTTATTTACTTTGCTTATTTGCTTATTTGTTTATTTTAGTTTGTAATATCCATATTTGAATTTTGATTGTAACACATTTTTGTTTTTAGTATGGCTATTAAAAATGCCATGGATTCTTCAAGAATTGAGATGCTTAATGAAAATAATTTCCGAGCATGGAAGCACCACATTTCTTATCTTCTTACACATGAAAAAACATTTCACACTTTATCAACTTCTAAACCAGATGATGATTCTAATTGGTTTCAACGTAAATGGATAGAAGATGATGCAATGGCGAAGGCAACTATGTTACATAATATGAAAGATAACATTATTCCGCTTTTTGAAGAACATGAAACTGCAAGACAATTAATGGAAGCACTAGAAAGTAAGTATGGAGTTCGATCGAATACTCAAATTCAATTGCTCTTGGACAAATATAATAACACTCGTATGAGTGATAATGATAGTGTTGGTGATCATGTTAATCTAATGAAATTAATTGGTAAAGAATTATCTAACGCTGGTCATTTTTTGTCGAACAAGATGCAAGTAACTATCATACTTAGTAGTCTTCCATTGTCTTGGGATCATGTTATCACATATCTAACTCATAGCGGACGAGAGATTTCAATGGTAACATTGCTTGTACTCTTAGTTTTGGAAGAAGAAAGAATGAAGCGAAGGCGTAAAGAAGGTTTGTTTTCTAACTTGTTGATGTCACAATCTTCACCATAACCACAAAATAATACTCACACACCATTCAAAAAGAAAAAAAATGACTTCTTTCAAGAAAAAATGGAAGAAGGGATTTCAGAAAGAATGGAAAAAAACAACAAGAATGGCAAAAACACCATCATAAGCATCAAATTGGCCATGTTACAAGTGCGGTCAAAAAGATCATATCAAAGCCACTTGTCTTCAGAAGAAGCAGAAAAGGGATCATAACCCTGTTGCCATGACAATTTCTGAAGCAATGGTACTTGAACCTTCATCAAATTCATGGTGGATTGATTCTGTTGCAACTAGACATATTGTGCAAAATAAAGACATGTTCATGGAGTTTACTGATAAGAAGGTTGGTGAACACAGAATCTACATGGGCAACAACTCATATAGTGATGTTTTGAGCATCGGCAACTGTCAATTCTCTATTAATGGAACTTCCATTATGCTTCATGATGTGCTTTATGTACCCAGCATTTGCCAAAATTTAATTTCAGTTCCAGTCTTAACCCAAAAGGGTTTTGATTTAATTTTAGGTTTAACACACTATTGATTAAGAAAGGAAGTGTATTAGTGAAAGGTGTAAGAGTGAATGACATGTACTCTCTTCCTATTGATAATAATAAAATATGTGTTTCTGATTATTTGTCTGTTTCTACAAATAATAGTTCTTATTTATGGCATTTAAGGTTAGGTCACATGTACTCTCTTCTTATTGATAATAATAAAGTATGTGTTTCTGATTATTTGTTTGTTTCTACAAATAATAGTTCTTATTTATGGCATTTAAGGTTAGGTCACATTAATAAAAATAAAATGTCTCGAATGTTTAAAAGCGCCTTATTGCCTAAAGTATGTTCCGATAATTTTGATATATGTGAACCATGTATCAAAGGCAAAATGACTAGCAAGCCATTTTTTAAACATTGGAAATCATCAAAATTACTCGAAATAATTCATTCGGACATTTGTGGCCCTTTAAGAACTAAAACTCATCAAGGCATGGAATACTTTATTACTTTCACTGATAATTATTCAAGATATGGACATATCTACTTTCTTAAACAGAAATCAAAGGCAATTGAAAAGTTTAAGGAATATAAATTAGAGGTAGAAAAGCAACTTGGTCAGTCCATTAAACACTTGAATAATGATAGAGGTGGGAAATATGAAACTATAGATTCTTTCTGCAAGGACAATGGTATAAAACATGTTTACAATGCCATATACACCACAACAAAATGAGATTGCCGAAAGATGAAATCGTACTCTAATGGAAATGACTAGGTCTATGATGGCTCATGCTGATCTTCCTATTCGTTTTTTGGGAGAAGCTTTGTCTGCCGCTGCATACATTTTAAATTGAGTCGAAACAAAATCCAAACCTCTAACTCCTTACGAATGCCGGCATGGTACTAAACCTAATATTCACAATCTCAAAGTTTGGAAATGTAAAGCACATGTGCTTATTTCCAAACCTTTAAGGGATAAATTGGGAAGTAAAACTTGGGAATGCAAGTTTATTGGTTATGTTGAAAATGGGAGTGGTTATCATTTTTATCATCCATAATGTGGATTAATAGAAAGTAGAGATGCTATTTTTCTTGAATCCACTGATCTTGTTACTCCTCTTGAACAAATTGAATTGCTCTCCGAAGTATCTCAGGATTTTTCTATTCCTTCTTTGTCACACGATCCACATATTCTCCCAGAACCATCTAATAGTGGGAGGAAATGCAAATTACATGACGATGTTATACCTGCTTCGAATCCTGAGATAAGTGGGAGTAAGAGAGCAAGATGTCTATCTACATTTTTGAAAGATCATTATGTTTTTCAATTTGAAGAACTTAATAGGGGTTGTTTGGGGTGTCCTAAATAAGTGCACTTTTTATCTTTTTGGACTAAAAAATTGAGAAAAAAAATATGGATGTTTGGGTTAACTTTTTGATTTTTTAAGAAAAAATGTGTATTAAAAAATTGTATAAATTAGTGTGTAGGGAGAATTTTTAGAAAAATTAGGATTGGGAGTTGTGCAGCTGTAATTTTTGACTTTTGGTAAATAGTGATAACTTTTTAACTTTTTGAGTAACTTTTTGGCTTTTTGACTTTTTATGGACTTGCCAAACTCGGCCTTAGTAGATGATCCTACTAGTTATAATGAAGCAATGAGTAGTAGTGATGCTACACAATGGCTTGAGGCAATGAATGAAGAACTTGACTCGATCAAGAAAAATGATGTTTGGGAATTAACTGATCTCTCGAATGGAAGAAAAGCCATTAGTTGCAAATGGGTTCTTAGAAAGAAATTCAAAGTAGATGGAAGTTTGGAGAAATACAAGGCCAGGTTAGTAGCCAAAGGATTCACTCAACAACCTGGAATAGACTTCGTAGATACATATTCTCCTGTTGCAAAATTTGCCTCAATAAGGATTCTAATGGCGGTAATAGCCAGGATGGATTTGGAATTGCATCAATTAGATGTTAAAACAACTTTTCTTAATGGAGAATTAAAAGAGGAAATTTATATGATACAACTTGATGGCTTTCCAAAACAAAGGCAACGAGGATAAAGTCTACAAGCTGAAGAAATCTCTGTATGGACTTAAACAATCTTCAAGATAATGGTACTTGAAATTCCACCAAGCCATTTTAGAAATGGGCTATGTTGTGAGTCCGTTAGATCACTGTGTTTATATCTGGAAAAATGATGACAAGTTAACAATATTGTCTTTATACGTGGATGACATATTGTTAGCAGGAAATTGTCCAGATATGATTATAAAAACCAAAACTTCTTTTCATCTAGATTTGAAATGAAAGACATGGGTCTTGCAACCTATGTTCTAGGAATTAGAATTTCAAGAGATAGAAATTCAAAATTATTATATCTAGATTAAGTGAAATATCTAGACAAGGTGCTCAAAAAATTTAATATGGATAACTATAATTCTTTAAGCACGCCTGTTTGCAAGAGACAAAGTCTTAGTAAAAATATGAGTCCTCAAACTAAGTTTGACATTGAGGAAATGAGAAATGTCCTGTATGCTCAGGCAGTAAGCAGCCTAATGTATGCTATGACAAGAACAAAACCTGACATCTATCATGCAGTAGGATTGGTAAATAGGTTTCAATCTAATCCAGGTAAGGAACATTGGCAAGCAGTCAAAAGAATATTCAGATATTTAAAAGGCACTAAGAATTTGAAATTATGTTTTGGTTTGTGTGATCTAGACATAAAAAGATACACCGATGCGGATTTTCCAGGAGATGTAGATGACAGAAAATCTACTAGTGGTCATGTATTCTTGTTTGGTGGAACAACAGTTTCTTGGTTAAGTAAGAAACAGAGTTGTGTTACAAAATACACTGTGGAAGCTGAATACATAGCCTGCAGCATAGTCGTTAGTAATGCGGTTTGGATAAAACGATTTGTTGACAGTTTACAATTAGGTATACCTGTCAGACCAGTCAATATGTTTTGTGACAATCAGTCCGCCATCTCATTAATAAAAAGTGGAGCAAATAGCTCTAAGGGAAAACATATTGATGTATGTTACCACTATATTCAGGACATAGTGGAGAGAGGTGAAATTAAAGTCAACTATATACCCTCAGAAGAGATGGTGGCTGGCTTTATGACCAAAGGGTTGTCTTTGAAAAAATTCAGAGAACATGTAGCTAATATGGGATTGAAAAAAAATGCCTAGCTAGGTGGTTTAGCTACTTATATAAGAGCATAGTTGGATGACTCTGGAGATGCCTAGATAATCGATGTTTTGCGACTCTATCTTGCATGGAAACATGTGTTTGGTCAAGTAACAAGATAGAGGAACTGATAAGGTACGGATATCATAGTTAGCATGAGATGTAAAGTCCATAATATGCAACGTGCTAACTAGATGATATTGTCTGCTTGATCAGCAAAAAGTCATTGATAAGGTTTATGTTATGGAAAACCTTCAGGAATGGGTCTTAAAGGAAGTACTTAACAATAATTTCAATGCAGGTCAACACATGAAAAATGTGTGCGGCTGAAGTCATCAATGGTGATTGGGTATGGACTATGAACCCAGCACTGAAAATTGATGTCGTTCATTTGAAACATAGTGAATTGAAGTCATCTGGAATGTGTTGTCAGTGGGAGCACACATTCGTACAGGTGTGGTCAGATTGGTGACAAAAACGTGCGCACGTATGGCCAAGTCACAATCAAGCGTCGATCTATGAGGTAATTTCATAGATGAAAGTTGGCATGAGGCAAAATTTTGGTACCAAGGTAAACATGCTCAACTTAGGATTTTTCACCTCATTATAATGTGATCAAGTGGGAGATGTTAGTGTGACCACATCATAATATGGTGTGCCTCTCCATACTTGATCATTTCCAAATGACAAGGTGTATATCTTCCCGCAAGAAAATGAAACAATCTGGTAAGTTAAATTTGAACATAATGGGTGCATTGTTTCATGATAACAGTAACTGTTAGTTTTTTATCCAAAGGTTGTGACCTTTGGCAATGGTTGCCATTGTGGTTATAAATACATTGGCAGAATGTTTTCACAATTACACATTCTAATCCATTGGAAAACCAGTATATCTAGACCCAACTTTGCTTTCAGATTATTTTATCTTGCGTGATAAATACCCTCACGGGATCACCGATCATTTAGCCATTGTTAAGTTAATCTTACAATTTTATTATAAAATTTCGTTATATTAATTATAAAGTATATAATTTTATTATAAATTGACGTATTAAAATATTCAGAAATTTGTGATTAATATTATAAAAGTTTGTAACTTGGTTACGACATTTTTTATTACATCAATTATGATGATATTACATATTTTGTAATTAATATTATAAAATTTTGTGATAAATGGTAGGGGTGCATACACACCGTAGGAGAACCCAAGAGCCAGGCATTATGATATTGGTGCAACTACATAATTGCTACATAATTGGATTTTTTTATTTTAAAAGATTATGTTACATTATGTGATATGCTTTATATTTATTGTTAATTAGGTGAGATTGGCTTAAACAAATTTTAAAAAATAACAATTATTTAAAAGCTAGAAAAAAAAAATTAACTTTTGCTTTCAATTATTAACTTGTAACTTAAAGTAAAAAAAACCAAACATATCCTATATATACTTACCATATGTCATAATAATGGGAGCTGTTAAGATGTGCACATCATATACATATTTATTTTAAGCCATTAGATTTTTTCAAATTAATCTCAACCACTGAATAATTTGATTGGGAATATTGAGTACCTTTTCAACCGGTTACCATTTTTTCAAATTTCTTCACGTTGTTTTCCCAAAGCCCCCTCTGTAGACCATCCCTGTGAACACGACCTACCATCGACTTCGCCTGAAGGTATGTCTCTCTCTCTCTCTCTCTCTCTCTCTCCCTCTGTGCAACTTTTTTCTCTCCCCCTTTCTCCATCTCCATTCTATGAAACCCTAGACCGCAATCCATTTCTTTGAAACTGCCCCTTTCACGTTTGTGAACTCACTAGGTTGGTTTAAAAAATAGGAAAATATTAGGTTTAGGTTTTTTTATGTTTGTTTGCTTTGGTAGTTGTTTTGATTCCCTTCTTCGAAATCCCCTTTTGTTAACCCCTATTTCCTGTATCGATTCTTGTTTCCCATTCTTCAAAATGCCCCATTCACGTTTGTGAACTCACTTGGAATGGTTGGATTCTAAATTTAGGAAAATATGATATGAATAGCTTTTGTTTGTAATGTTTGTTTGATTTGGTAGTTGTTTTGACTCCATATATATAGATATATCTTGAAATTTTGGTTGAGTTTGTGAAATCTGATGTGTAATCAAAGGGAATAAACTTCAATTTTTTTCATTTCTGTCGAATATGTTCATGTGAAAAATGATGCTCTCTATGAAAATAAGATCAGAATTGAAAAATCTAGAAATCCCCTAGATGTTGATTTGTGATTATGTATCAATTTTAAGCAGAATATAACAATCTCAATCAAACAATCAAGACAAAGAGACACAACGATTTTAACATGGAAAAAACCACAATTGGACACCTCCAACTGTGATTAAAAAACCACGGGCAACAGCCACAAAACAATCCACTAAGAAGATTTAAAGGAATTACACAGGCATACTCTCAATTACCTAGCGAATCCACGCCTAACTAAACCAACCTCTATGTGCCTCTTCCAACCCGTCTTCACCTCGGGATTGTCTTTACGATGAGCC